ACTGCCTTGAGGCCAGACCAACTAAGAAGATTAACTTGCTCAAACAGCGCTTTTCTTTGCGCGGCACTTTGCATACCTGTAAGCCAGTGCTGTGTTTTTCTCCAAACGACGTTTTATTTCCGTCGACGCTTCGTCTACCTGAACTTCGACGCTCAGTCCGCCAATTAGCTTAGCTTTAGAACACACACCTCGCCGAATGCTAAACCTATCCACTGCTGTGGTGCAGCTTGTGTCCACGGACGTGTTACACCTGATTACATCAGTTTATTCAAGGAAAGCAAGTCAGGTCTTCATTATCTACAGTAATGTCAATCTAATTTTGTCAAACAAATACGCCCCCCTGAGTGCTTTGTTATTTCTGCATCTACCGCATCTATACTAGACAGACTTTGGTGCGCTGGACTACCTTAGCACATGCCAATTTCTATCCTGCCGTAGTACTTGAAGTGCCATTGATCGACATCATCTACATATTACCCTCTACATAAACGGACCTTCTTCGTGCATATTCGGTAAATCCCGTGGGTTTATGCGCCTGTGGTCTCACTCTTCTTTGTGGTTTGCTCGCCTACAGTCTGCAAATGAGATAACAAAAAACTACCACTTGAGGATTGCAAATAACCTCTTCCCAAATTCAAGGAACCATGCAATCCCTCAGTGCCCTCTTTCCTTCCTTCATTAGTAACGGTAGGGTTAAGGACACCCAATTAGATGGCAACTCCAAAAATATACCCTAAAATTCACCCTGACTGTAAAAATCACTTATTATTTACCGTTTCCACTGTCTTAAATTTCCTCCTCTGCCTCAGTAAATGTAAAATTCCCAGCGGCGCTTTATTCAAAGACCATCACTTTATGACAATTGATCGTTGTTCTTTTTGATTGTCGAACTCATCTGCTTTGACAAATGACAACGCACGATAGGACTTTCGGCAGAAATTCATCTATTTTCTGTGTCTTCTTGCTCTTCGTCCTGCGTGTTGCCTCGCCGCTGAAACCCCTTCTACCACCATTCAACGTATGATACAGTCCACAGGTTAGCTCAAGATAGTCGGGGGGTCCTACGTATTGTCGTTTCACGGTTACGGTTTCACGGGCTGCTACCTCCTCATAATATCCTTCTTTCACACCAAAAAGTATTTGCCCAATCACGTTATTTCCACTCCGTTACCGCTTCCTGCAGCTATTTCTTCGCACTGCCCTACCTCGTTATCTGTGTCGCTTGTCATATGCTCTGCACACTTAGCTCACTGATCTTGACACTGCGTCCTCATTTCCCATTGGCTGACCAACTTCCCACTGAATCTTCTTATTCTTACTGTACACCACTGCGCCCTCCGCAGACTGTTCCAAAATCCCTTTTGATTTTTCAAATTTAGAACTCCTATTTTGCCTCGGTTAAACTATTTCCCTTTATATGATTATGCATCCTTTTGCCCTGCCGGCGGCCTCACCTAAGGCACCGTCCATAAAACCCCTATTACCACCATTGCCGTATTACGGGTCTCCTTGATTTCTTTTTCCATATGGGGCTACAGGATCAAAGCTGATATCTTTGTTTTATATGAGTTCAAGTGAATAGCACATAAACACTTCTCAGAAATTTGGGGAAAGCTTGTCAGGGGGTAAATTTTGAACGACTCAAAAGGTTTCTCGACCTAATGCGGCATTACCAAGCTAGGCCTGTAAAAAAAACCATTCTAACGTCTTTAAAGGGTAAGTAGAGGTACATTCGTAGAACTGGGATGCCGTCAGATACAAGGAAGAATGAGCTGGTCATTTCTGGCTTGTCGGCCATTGTCATCCAGCCATGCTTAACGCATACCCTGCGGGACGTCGGATTCAAGATTAAATTATTTGATCATTGGACTATAATGACTACCCTAATCACTCTTCTATGCTGGTACTACTGCCCGTATGACGGTTGGTCCCCATGACATGTCTTTTCTGGCTAACTGATCGTTGTTACCCAGTCATACCCAAGCCCGTGTCTGGAGTAGCGGGGACTCAAGGCCGTATTTTGGTCACTGAACGTTCCTTATAAATCCGACCTCCTATCACTGACCCACGGGTCGGTTGTCTTGTCGCTTGTGAGCGAGAATACGAACTATCGTCAGAGGGAAAATAAATATACGGTCGAGGATGGGAATATGCTAGAGGTGCCTCTGTGGGGATGGATTTGTAATATCAAAAAATGCAGGGGAATTCGATCTATGGCAATGGCTCTGGAAATCCCTTTTTAATGATAGCGCGCTGCAGTGAAACCAACCAGTACATTCTCCCTGTTTTGAAAAAAATCAGTCTGTGTTAATGCGAGGTATACTAATTCACGAAACATATTCAAAGTACATCAAATTGTAGGCGACTGAAGTTTGTATCTAGCACACTTCACCATGTTCTACTTTGTCCACCTCCATGGAATGTATTTTAATGAACTTCCTGTAACGCTGAGCTGAGGGCGTCTAATGCATTGGATTGATGCTCATAACCTAATCACCAATCGTCACTTAAGTCGCTCCGTTTCTTCAAATAAAAAACAAATTGGAAGTTGCACGATGATAATAATTGAGAACCCAGAATATTAAGAAAATTATCCCCGTGCCCGAACAGTTGTAGTGGACAGCCATAGTGGCAACGTCGCGCCTCTCGCTAGCGCCTGCACCTACGCCATAACGACCGCCTGCTACGGCACGCACGTCTGCCCGACTTCGATTTTTCTCGTTGCAATTCACTGTATGCACTACGCATCTGGTCGGTTCTCTTCCTGCACCATGCGAAGCTTGTCACTACCCTCGCGTGGGCTCGGAGTCAATCAACGCAACCCCTCTCGCTGATTGGTTACACAGTCTAGACCACTGCGTAAACAATCTGTCAGGACACTTTTGCAGCGGCGACCTTCGGCGACACACGGCTCGTCGCTCTCACGGACGCCGCCTCCGCGGCGCCGGGCACACCCTCATCCGGTTACCAACTTCCCTTCACTATTCTGTACAGGATAAATAAATAATCTTCTACCCAACTGGCGTCCCGCTTCTAACAACTTGGGATATGGCCTGAAGTTGTGGCGCAGTGAGCATACACCGCTTAGCCGCCACACAGTCATCTACTTGCCTACACTTGAGTCCACGCTCCGCATCGGATAGCTGACCGACTCAAGGTGCCCGGTGGTGCAAGGGAAAGGTAGGAGAAAGTCTGGTCGACTGTGGGGAATCCATCCTCCGCAACAAGTCAGCGACTTCCTCACTATAATAAATCTAGCGCTCTGGAGGTCGTGGCTGCTCAGAAGACTGCCACCTGACCAGATAAGTCGATCCCCTCAGGACGGCGAGTCGGGCTCCAGTCTTCAAGACACTGTCTTGACTCTGCAGCATGATGACTGAGGGAGGATTGGATGTGACAGATGCTGCGCAAGCCCACTGTCATGCGCCCAAAAGTCCTGGGACCCGTGGTGGACATCGCCGTTCGCGACGCTCGAGCTGTCATGTACGCCCAACACTTTTCTAAGGGGTGCGGTCCCTTTGCTCATGCAGTGAGCTTTTTAACACTTTAAACGTAAATGGCCATGGCTGTCTGGACGCAAGTGTGTCCGTACTGAAGTCGGACCAGTAGCTACGGGTCGGCATGTGTTTAGCTTGGTCCAAGTGGCTTTGCAACAAACGAATGGCAGGGTATGAGAGAGAGACTTTGAGCCATTCCAACCGCGAGGTAAAGAATGCGGCTGATGCTAAGATAACGTCTGGATTTAGGTATTTCTAAGTCGGCCAGTTCGAGGCGACTGGCTGTCCTGACTCAAGTTCCGATTTCTGTAGGCTCCTTTTTTGGAATCTTTACAAATTCGCACAACCTTGCGCCTTTGCATTTCCTTGGGTATAATTCGGTTTCAAAAAAGTTTCTGATTGGAACATTTTTAATACCGTAAAATCGCTGTTCATAAAACGTCATGTATCTGCATTTACGAATGTGGCTTGTTAAAAAAACAATATTGCTCAAATCCACTGCCTAATTTTATGAACTCCATATGGTCTCCTATTAGTACCGTAGAGAAATGCATGGTTTTCCGTATACGGAAAACATACGGCTTGTAATTCTGAAACCCTGAATGCAGGTGTAACAGCAGAACGGATTCAAAATTGTTTGGGAATTAGAAAAACTTTTTAAAAGTGAATTATACTCTTTTTTCGAGAATAAAATCGGAAAAAGAAGTGATTTTTACCGAATGAGCAAAAGAATAAATATTTTTATACATATTTTCCAGGAAATATAATGGATTGTTTAGGGGCATTGAAATTCAATGAGAAAATCGCATGCTAATTAAGTAATCATTTTTTGCAGAGTGTAGTTCTGGCATGCAGTCGGAAATAAGTTCATTCGAAAGGTGATACTCTGGGGTAACTGGATCATTATAGAATCATGCTGCATGATGATCAGTTTTACAACTCTACTTGATTAATCGCATTTCGAAATTGCTGTTGACATTTCATGAGTTAGTCAGCCTACCGTATATATGGTTGCAAGTTACGACTGGAATTGCCTTATGCGCGTTATTTCCTGTTACTCTTTGTGGCAAGCGGGTTCAGTCAGCGGATAAGTTACCACCAATGGCAACTATCCACTCGGAGGCTTGGAAAATACGCGCCTTTCACGTGCTCCGTTTCGCATGCTATTGTAGCATGTCCTCGCGACTGCTTATGTCGACCCCGACGCCTGCACTCTTGTGCCGCACGCACTTCGGTCACATATTTCGTTCGATACCCATATCGCGAAGCCTAGGTTCAACGCAGGCTTAAACACTGTTATTTGGCATGCCGTTCACTACAACCATTATGAACTTCGGTACTATAATTGGTCAGAATCGCCGGATTACAATCTACCAGGACAGTTGCACAATCCTTAATAGAACTGGCTCGCACGATCGGTACCGCGGCCTTAAATAGTCAGGTTCATCAAACACACCCGGACAGTTGTCTACCAGGGTGTGGCAGGTGGAGTTGTCCTTTGACATGGCTTCACAGCAGACCTTTCTGTCTCTCAATAGCGGCTTTAAGATACCCCAAGTCGGATTTGGCAGCTTTATGGTTGGTTGTTTCCTCACTCTGTTCACTCCGTCCATCTTTAGCCAAAGCTGCATGAGGTGGAAAATCCTGTCTTTTGGGCGATCGATGCAGGCTATCGACACATCGATTGCGCACGCGCCTACCAAAATGAGACTGAAGTTGGCAGGGCTCTGAGACGGCAGCTAGATGCTGGAACTGTAAAACGCGAAGATCTTTTCATTACATCAAAGGTAGGCCGCAGTCGTAAATAAGCCGCCGGTGTAGTTGTGGGGCGATGCCCATCGACTGGAAGATGTGCGCCCAGCTTGTGAGGAGAGCTTGCGAAAACTGGGTCTGAAGTACCTGGATCTATATCTCATTCATTTTCCCGTCCCTTTCAAGGTAACCTCATTTCACCGTCTTTATACTTGCAGTTAAAAGAGGGTACGCAATTCCCAGTAACTGACCCGAGTGCATTTGAATTTGAGTACATACAGCTGGAGGAAACGTGGAAGGTGAGTTATCATTCGCTGGGTACACACAGCAGACTGCATCCTCGGAGGACCTGAAAAATCGTTTCGAATATCTGGAGCGACCCATGCAAGGTCCGCTTCGCGAAACCCCTACGCCACCTCTTTTAAACAGACCCTTGTGCCCGCAATAAAGTTGTCATTGTTGTTTGATTCGCATTTCCTTTTAATGTTTGAACCTCTTGCGTTTTTTGCTTAGGGTATGGAGGAGCTGGTTGAGGCGGGTCTCGTTAAGTCAATCGGGGTGTCCAACTTTAACAGGGCTCAAATTGATCGCATTCTGGCTGTCTGCAAGATACCCCCTGCTGTAAATCAAATTGAGGTCACGGTGAATTGGCTAAATCAAAAACTGATCGACTATTGTCACTCAAAGGGGATTCAGATCACAGCCTACTCCCCGTTTGGCTCCCCAGGCCTTATTAGGTAAGTTAACAATGTGCGCAGTTTCTGCACCTTTTTTCCCCGGCCTACAACCAGGGTAACCCACTATCTCGCAGCCAATAGGATACTAGCATGCCTGAACCAATTAGAACAGAGCATTCTGTCTGACTGCGTCGCTAACCGGCTTGACTGGCCCCACCTACCATTAGCACTTCTGCGGTTACTAGATTTGTCATCCATGACCAGCCATTCTGACCTTGCTCGCCATTTGCGGAACCGATAAAGCAATTGAGACTCAATTGGAGACATGATGTTAGGGGCGAGCAGAAAACCGAGGACAATTTGCATGCGATATGGCTGATTAAGCATAATTCGAAATTCTGAAATGCTATTTTGTTAATAAAGGCTTCCAAATGCATGTCTCTCCCGTCACCAGCCAAATTAACACTCGAAAAAAGTGGCTCCGTAATTAGTATACATTATCGCGACTAGTCTTCGGCCCTCTTATGAATGCAAACATTATTGACTAGAGAATATGCACAAGAATATCCTGTCATACATATTTTTTTAATAGACTACTCTAATGCAAGCGTTCCATTCGAAAAAATTATAATATTCGGTTTTCGAAAATGTTTACAGTAATGGAATATTTAAGGTCAATGGAAATTCTTTTTAAGATGGAATGGTAAATGTTTGCTACGAAAACTACTAAGGAAATATACAAGGCTTTTTTGTATCTACTGCACAGTTTTGTGAGCGGTGTATGGCGTCTCCCGGACAGCATAGAAAAATAAACCAGTTTCCGTAAGTAGTCGGTTTCACGCCTACGGATTGCAAACCCTGGAAGCAAATGAAATGCCAGGACAAGTTCTAAATTACTAAAAAAAACTTTAAAAGATGTTTAAAACTGTAAGATACACTTTTTCGAGCAGAAACTTTGAACAAGCGGTAATACGTTTTGAACTGAGTACAAGGTAGGGTGTTCTCAGACGTATTTTTTTCAGTCGAAAATGCTAGGCATAGAAAATCGATGGAAATGTGTGCTAATCAGGTAGTAATTTGGCCAATGTAATTTCATCTGGTGGCCAGGAGTACGTAAACTCAAAAGCCAGCATCTTGGCGCAAATGGAGCATCCGTCTGAGATTTTGCTGCTTGATGCAATACCACTTTAGTAATTCTTTCCATTTCAAAGGGCTTTTCGGAATTTCGGTTTTATGAAGTACGTAACCTACCGTAGATGAGTTTGGGCATAATGATTGACATTACGGGGAGCACTAGTGTACGGGTGATAGATGCCGGCTGACTTAGACGCTTATGAAAGAGACGTCGTCGACTTGCGGTCGCAGTAACATGCTTATGCCCCGACGATGCGCCGGCCGGATCCTGTTTTCAGCAATGAAACCGTTCCGTAGTCCATCCTGACAGGTGGAACTGAAATAACATGACTGAGACTGGGCCAGAGGATATTTTAACGGTTAACGGACCTCTGCAGAGATTGTTTTCACTGCAGTGTCGCTAGGGAGCGATGTCTGTTCATGCATGACTACCGATACAGGAAAGCGAATAAAGTTCTTCAATCACTGTTCACCGGAACAATGCCTCGGCCGGCCGACCAATGCAACAACGCCCTAATGCGTCCGTTTTTGGAATATTTCGCTTGCCAAATAAGCTCCCGAAATTGCGTCTACTTGTTATCCTGTTTAGTCCGAGCGTTGTTTACTTGGAACAGGGATGTGCCGTCTCCGTTGGAGGAGGAATACGTGAAGAAAATCGCTCTTGTCCACAGAAAGACACCGGGTCAGGTTCTCCTTCGGCATGCAATACAGCGCGGTCTTTCGGTGGTTGCAAACAGCTCGAAAAAGGAGAGGATTCAGGCTAACTTCAACGTAAGTCAAGTTTTTTAATGCTTCCGTCTGTTTCTACTGAATTCCTTTCGGGCGACCAACTAATGACAAAGACTAGATCGCATAATCAGAGTTACAATTCGCATTAGCGTGCATGAATGAGGAAATGATCTCTTGGGTCGTATTTTTGCATTGCAGACGCCTCGGAGGATTTAATATTGCCTTTAGGCCTTGCAGTGTGAACGACAGTAGAATGATGTGGCTGTGCCGAATATTTTGTGGTGCTTCCTCTCCTTCCTCACCACCACCACCACCACCACCACTACCACCACCACCACCCCCACCACTACTACCACCACCACCACCACCAACACCACCACCACAACCACTACCACCACCACCACCACTACCACCACTATTACCACCACCATCATCATCATCATCCTCATCATTATCAGCAGCAACATCACCGTCACCTTCATCGTCATTAGCAGCAGCGACAACCGGCGCCGTACTATCCTCTAGTGTTATCAGCTGTACCTGGTGGATACTCCACTAGATTCGTTGTTCATCCAATCAAACCTTCAGACAGACTTTTGACCCTCCAAAGTATCGCCTCCAATGCTTTTCACTTTGACTCAGCTATAAAAAACCTGGTGCCTCGGTGGGATTCGAACCTAGGACAGCACATCGAGAGGCTTTAGTACAGCCAACGCTCTAACCATCTGAGTTACAAGCCCCCAACGGACAACGCGAGTTTAATCACATTTGGGTCAAATTTACCCGCCCAACCTACTGTAGCGTCTGGGATCCTCCAAATCTGATACAGTAAGCTGACTGCCCCAGCAGGATTTCCTAAGTAATGCACATAGAACCCACCAGATGGCTACCAGAATCAAGTAATTCAGAGGCGTTTTGGCAGACACGGTTAATCGACAGGTTTTGCTTCTGCAGACCGAGGTTTTTTTCGCTTAACGGGTGCCGTCAGAGCTTGCACTCGTCGTCTGACATTGCGCCTGCTGAAAATGAGGGGAAGTACCCCTTGTACTAAGAACAGATGGCAAATAAAGACGCTGAAGGATGACAACGCATTTCTCAAACTACAGTGTCGGTAATTCGGGTAACTGACATTCAAACGAAATCACCTGGTTAGTTGTCAAAATAAGACATTTTGTGTAGGCAAAAGTCATACAAGTCGATTAATCTAACCGTTTCAGTTAAACTGTATTTAGGCAGTCGGTGAGTTTACATTTCATTCAATCAAACGTTCAGCACTCTTCTTTAAAAAAATAATTTCAGGTCTTCGATTTCACCCTGACGACTGAGGAAATGGAAACCCTCAACACAAGCGGCCGCAACGCCCGTGTCTTTGATGCCAAAATGTAGGTTCATTTGACCCACTTGGGGTCTTTAATCCGGTTTCGGTTCAGGGTGATGAGTCATCCGGAATATCCATACAAGACGGAATTCTAAAGCTCAGGACCTGTCCAAAGTTCATACGAGGGATCCTCCTGACAATTCGGTTTTCTCCTGGTATTACCATCCTGTATCCTATGTGAATACAAATTGAGGTCAGGTTTGGTCCTGCATCCCCATGTGCAAGAAGAAAATCAAGGACACCCGTAATACGGCAATGGTAGTAATAGGGGTTTTACGGGCGGGAGCCTTAGATGAGGCCGACGGCAGAATTAAGGTGTATCAGGGCAAAAGGAAACATAATTTTATAAAGGAAAATAGTTTAACCGGAGTAAAATAGCAGTTCCAGATTTTTAAAAAAGGAAGGCGCAGTGGTGTGCAGTAAGAAAAAGGAGATTCAGTGGGAAATTGGTCAGCCAATGGGAAATGAGAACGCAGAGCCAAGGTCAGTGCGCTAAGCGTGCAAAGCAAATGAAACACGACACTGATAACGCCGCTTACCAGCGCGACGAAATAGCTGCAGCAAGCGGTAACGGAGTGGAAATAACGTAAGTGGGGAAAGACTTGTTAGCGTAGAAGCAGGATATTATGAGGAAGTAGGAGCTCGTGAAACTGCAAAGGTAGTGAAGAGGCAACGACAAGATGTAGAGCCCCCCAACTATCTTGCGCTAACTTGTGGACTGTGTCATACGTTGAATGGTGGTAGAAGGGGTTTCAGGGGCGAGGCAACACACAGGACGAAGAACAAGAAGGCACAGAAAATAGATGAATTTCTGCCGAAAGTCCTATCGTGCGTTGTCATTTGTCAAAGCAGATGAGTTCGACAAAAAAGAACAACGATCAATAATCACAAAATGATGGTCTTTGAATAAGGCGCTGCTGGGAAGTTTACATTTAGTCAGGAAGGGGAAGAAATGTAAGACATTGGGGACGGTGAATAATAAGTGATGTCTACAGTCACACTGAATTGAGGGAGCGAAGGGATTATATCGTTCTCTGAATTTGGGAAGAGGTTGTGTACAATCCTAATGAGATAGTTTTTTGTTATCTCATTTGCAGACTGCAGACGAGCAAACCACAAAGAATAGTGAGACCACAGTTGGACAAACCCACGGGATTTGCCAATATGCAACACCAGCGAGAAGAAGGACTGCCTACGTCGAGGGTCATATGTAGATGTCGTCGATCAATGACACTGCAAGTACTACGGCAGGATAGTAATCGGAATGTGCTAGGGTTGCCCAGCGCACCCAAGTCTCTCTAGTTTAGATGCCGTACATGTAGAAATAACAAAGCACTCAGGGGGCGTAGGTTTTTGACAAAAGCAGATCGACATTACCAAAGATAATGAGAACCTAACTTGCTTCCCTCGAAGGACTTGAAGTACTCAGGTTTACTACGTGCGTGGGCACAAGCTGCACCACAGCAGTGGATTGGTATGGCATCTGGCGAGGTGTGTGCTCGAAAACCCTCCTGAAGTGGGTTAAGCGAATTGGCGGATCGAGCGTCGAAGTTCAGGTAGACGAAGCGACGACTAGCCGACGGAAATACAATGGCGGTTAGAGAAAAAGGCGGCACTGGATTATAGGTATGCGTAGTGTCGCACAACGAAAAGCGCTGCTTGAACAAGTTAATGCCCGTAGTTTGTCTGGCCTCAAGGCAGTCATAGGGGAAACGGGATACATCGGATTGTCTCTTAGTAAATGGTCAGTGGATGACATGCGCACGCTTTCCAGAGGAAGGCTATTGGCACGACAAGGTGAACCACTGAACCAGTTTCGTTTAACATACTGGTGGTAGTAGTACTAATGCCATAGAAGCATACTGGAGCAGACTAAGGCGAAAACTTGTCGAATAGGGTCCGATTGCAGGAAGAGCATTTTAGGTGCATGTATTCAAAGCCCAGTAGCAGCTACTTTTCGACCTTTAAGCAATTAACTTTCCGGATATCTGGGAAACTTTCCTGAAGCGCGTGGCAGAATCGTACTCAGTTAATGACTGTAAACAAATGGGATGACATGAGTCTCAAACCAATGACTGTTAAGTCGAACTATGTCGCTGATGTCGGAAAACACAGGTGAATTTGCAGCAAAGTTACAAAATGACCGCCTCTTTTTGCGGGCATCTCAGAGCAAATACGCCCGAGTTTGTATGGTACTTATTAGCCAATCGTATGTCCTGTTAACAACGGTAACCGCCTTCTTCCTAAAAGTGACATGCATGAAGCACTCCACAGGAGCACTTTCGATGACAAACCTGGGTTAGCCACTCGTTGGATTTGGAAGGAGAAACAGCGTTAGCAGAAGTTGAAGCATCAAAAGTGTGCACTCCGAGGGAGCAGTGACGTGGACATGCCTTACCTAGCCATTCGCTGTATGAGCAAGGATGCAAACCCAAACGGAACGGAACCAAGGCATATGGAGCATTCCTTCTGAGCAAACTAATAATACACTTGATTGGGAGGGCAGGGGAAGAGCAGGCACGGCAAATTGTAAGTGCATTAAGCACTCCGTCGGAGTAATATCGTTCGCTTCTCTAACCCAACAGGCAGAACTAGAAGCACGCTCATTAAGCACCCTGCCTGAGCTGCACCCTTGACGGGGTAGTCTAGCCGCCCGCTGGATGAGGAAGTAAGGGGAACGCAAGCTGATCTGGAGACAAGCGCCGAAAGTAGTACCTAGCCATTCGGTGGGTGAGGAAGAAAAGGCACCTCAAGCGAAACTGGTAGCAAGGGCATTAAGCAGGCCGTTGTCGATTTTGACGTAAAATCAACTACTTAAATTAATTCAGTAGGATGGCATTAAGAAATCAGTCGACTGGCGCTCCAGAACCACACCTTGCCAAGAAAGACCCCCTCTTTCGAGTATGTGGACCGAACATTAGTAAAGGCCTTCAGCGGGGCTACTGAATCATCCATTTGGCGAACACAGATGGCCAAAATGGATATAACGTCAAGACTCCCTGGCCTCAAATCAGATGTTAGCATGTCAGAGACAATGTAATATTTTACCCCTGCACTGCTGTCAGGGGCTAGCTTCCGAACGTATCTGCAAACCTGACCTGATAAAAAAGGATTTTCCATCAGGATGTTCAGAATATAAATGAAAAGCCATCGGTGGAAAACTGAGTTGGTGTAGGCTGTTAACGTTGCTGCTTCTCCTGCAATCTTCTGTTAATTAAACAGAATGTTTAATAAAGACCAAAAGAAGGAACCTCCTTCCCCTCTTACCGGATCGGGCTCTGGGCTAGGGTTATGGATGCGTTTGAAGTTAGTGTTAGCATTAGGAAGTGGATTATTCCCAGGTCTGAGGTTGTTAGGCCTAGAGTGTAGTCTGGGTTTGCAGTTGAGGCTAGGGTTAGAGTTTAGAATCAGGGTTAGGAGTTTTGGCTGGGGTTTTAGAGTTGAGGTTAGGGATTTAAGACCCAAGAGTAAGGTTGCGATTACGTTCGAACTTCCTTTAAACGCTTGCGGGTTAAGGGCTAGGATTCCCCATTACAGCCATGGTTATTATTAGCTTTAGTGGGTTACACGCCATACTCTTGTCGGACAGAAGTCAGAAACTAAGCAAAAGACAATGACAGCGAACGAAATCTTGTTAATAGTGGTTATAAAACGAGCATGCGCCGTTCACTGGTGCAGCAAAATGGGGAGAAGAACAGTCAGCGCAACGTACATCTACAAGAAGTGATAGATGCTCGTAGTAGAAAACACACTAAAGCTATTTTCGCTGAAAATTGGAAGTTGGTTGCCAGGATGTCCACCGTTTGACATGGACTTATTAGACACCAAACTCAAAACCCAAACAAAAACGTAACTATGAGCGGTCACTCATTCATTGTAAGTAGAACAAACATATCTAATTTTGGTGTAGGGATATGTGAGTGAATGTGTGTCTGGTGATTGGGAAGTTTGATACGCGTCGAGTCTACAGCCAAATGACGAATATTACCATCGACACAGACGCCCGGGTTCAAAAATTCAACAACGCACACCCCTCGGTAAAGTTCTCTGCAGAGTATGAGGCAGACAACGAAATTGCGTTCCTTACTGTTCTTCTGCACAGACAAGAGTATGAATCTATCCAGCGTAGGGCATTCCGAAAGAAAACCTGGACAAGAAAATACATTAATTTTGTTCCCCTAAATAGTAAACGCAATTTTTGCCGGAATTGGAAACTAGAGTGCGACATATCTGCTCTCCTGATACTGTTGAGGCAGAACTCCAGCAACTGAAGGATATACTCCACGAAAGCGAATACCCAGGAAGATTTATCCTCCGAAATATGGAGGAGCGCATTTCAAAGCCCACCATAGCAACTGCAGAGAAGAAAAACTTATTTATAAGACTGCCTTTTCAAGGGGACGCAGCAAGTAACCTAGTAAAAAAGCGTCTGAAGACAGCAATCACTAGCGCTTTCCCCGCGGCGAATTTACTTGTATGTTTCACTAACTCTCCCCTCCAACGCTTGGAAGGTAAAGACCGAATCCCGTTGCAGGACACATCAATGTGTATTTATTCATTCACTTGCTCCTGTGGAGCGGGATACATTGGCTGTACAAAGAGGCGCCTGGAAAAGAGAGTACGTGAACGCATACCGGCCTGGCAAGGCGAAGGTAAAAGGACTCGATTTCGAAATCTATTCTTGCACTTCTTGTCGATACGAATCACCGAGTCGGTACCAAAACAGCCTTTCAGGTCGTCTACCGGAAACCAGCAAACTTCTTCAGAGGACTACGCCAAGGAATGCTAGCTACAGCCGAGGCAGTGGCTCTACGGCTAGCTAGTCCACTGCTATGTTGTCAGAAGACGTTGACACGGGCGTTCTGTCCTCCTTGGCCAACGCTGACCCCAACCTCCTGATGGCACTGGTGTGTGCTCAACGTACCGGACTTACAAACATCACTCACATCCTATGTCACCCCTCCCCCTCGCCCCCTTGACCCAATGACGATAACACGCCGATCTCGCCATGCGGGTGGCTTGGGAACGATGATTGGCGTGGGGACGATGAGTGTTAATAACCCCTGAGTCACTTATAAACACTGTGAACTTCTCG